CGTGTTCAGCTTCTCATCCACCACCACTGCCGAGTCCTTCTCTTTGGAGATGGTCTGAAGCCACTCATAGCCCAGCCTGTATTTGTGCTTGGGGTTGCCCCGACCCAGGTGCATGACCTTGCATTTGTCCTTGTTGAACTTCATGAGGTTAGCACAGGCCCACCTCTCAAGCCTGTCAAGGTCCCTCTGGATGGCATCCCTTCCCTCCAGCGTGTCAACCGCACCACACAGCTTGGTGTCGTCAGCAAACTGGCTGAGGGTGCACTCAATCGTGGGATATCGCCCTCAATATCCCGATATCCCAACCTGCATGAATGTGGATAGTTTATTGCTTATTATGAGAGAGTGCTTCCTGGGCATGAAGAAAGTCATCAGTGATGACAGGCACCAAATGCCACTTCTGCTTTGACAAATTTAGTTGTATGACTGCTCTCATCAGCATGTCCAACATCTTGCGTTTAAATCCTTCCCATATTTCCATCATAATATAGCCCCTGGATTTCTTTCCTGGGAATTACCTGGAAATACCTAAACATATTAACAGGAACGGTGGGGCTTATTAGCACCTAGAAGTGTGGGGTTTTTCAATTTATTTTTAGTTTTTTTAATTCTGTCTCTAAACAAGGGAGAGAAACACCAATTTTCCCCCAATAAAAGCCCAAGCCCTGTTTTCTCTTATGTGGTAGCAGCTTCTTACCAGCTTTCAGGTATAACATGCAAAAGCAGTTCTATAGTCAGTTAAAGCTTGATATTATATTACAACTTTGTGTTCCTGGTACGGTATAGAGAAAAATAAGCTTTTGAGTTCTGTGCTGGTCCCTGGCTATGATGTTGCTTCTTTGGTTATCACTTAAAGCCAGTACAATTGTAAATCTCCCAACTGCATTTTGACCAATAACCTAAAAGCCAGTTGCAGAGTAAGAGTGAATCCTCCTGAGTGACACCTAATAAGTCTGCCAGCCTCCCTGCTAGTTACACTTGCACTGTAAGTTGTATGTCGTTTTTTAGTCCATTCCATGTTGCATTGTGTCCCTTAACTGTGGGTGAAATAAGCATCGTTGTTATTGGATTACATGCTACATATCAAATTCACTTGCAGAATTTCCTTTATTTTCGTTTGTGTCCAACCTAGAAATTTCTAAGTATGAAATCTTGATGCTATTGCCATTAATAACCATTCGTTTCATGAGGATCAGAATTTCACCCTTTGAACAGCAAACACCCTTAGCAGGCACAAAGCCTCTGTATATTTTTGCATTAAAATTCAAGAGAATGTTCAAAAAAATACCAGAAAAAAAAAAAAAATCACAAATGCATGTGAAGTAGTGTTCTGGTTTGCAGCAGCGTAATTAGGCCTCAGAGATACTCTTCTGCAGTATGGAGACGTAACCAAACGATGCAGACTGTCTTCTCAAACGCTGCAGGAATCCTGCGCTTTCAAGAACAGCATCTTCAAGATCCACTCGATACACAGGTTTTGTGTTTTGATGGAGCACAATTATCTTTAAGTATCTTCATTATTCAAATACTTTCTTTTGATACTGGATGCAAAATTTTCCCAGAAAATAAGAATACACCATAAAGACCATAACTGTACTGGGGGCGGCATGCTTTGCACTGACAGAGCCCTTGCCTTTAGGCTCTGTCCTCCCAACTGAGTTAGCTGCAGTGGAGTTGAGTTTTGCAGATTGATTGACTGTGGTGGCAGCTGACAGGGTGTGCTTTTCCCGTTACTCCCAAGGGCTATGCAGTTCGGGTTGAAAGCAGAAATTTGTTCAAACTGCGTGATTTAGCACAAAGCTAAGACCTGAACTTCAAGTAACTTTCCAATTAACCCTGCGGTAAAGACACTGGGCTCTTCAGTCTCTCTGCTCTGCAGCTTCTCCCTTTCATGAGGGATGTCCCTGGAGGCTCTGGCTGTGGGTGGTGTGAGTGGCAGTTAGCTGCACTGGCAGGAAAACCAGCTCTCTCGGGCTGACATCACCTGGGACTGCAGTGAAAATAACGTGCACACGCCCACAAACCACAGTGTTCAGCTTCAGCCATTAAAATATATCTATAATCAACTTTAATGAGGAATAACTATATATATATATACAAAATGAATCATCCCCTTCCTCCTCTTGTTCCCTGCAGTGTTCTCATTGCTTCAAAGCAACCTAGAGGTATGATTAACTACACCCTGTCCTGCATGATTGTTTAATTGAGCACCTCTGTGCTGACAGGAGAATATCATCTCTTAAGAGCACTGGAGGCATGAATGTATTACAAATAATATTGCTCAGAAATGAAAGGAGAGTTTCAGTTGTCCTTTTTGTAGTTGAATGCATTTTCTTCTTCTCTGTTAGTGTAGGAGGCATATTGCTGTGGAGTTATATACAGGCAAATTTTTCATCCACCTGACTTGAGAATGTTTTAATCTTCGAGGCACACAGTGAGATTGCATGCTCTTATTGTCAGGTTTGGAGTTTTGGGGAGGGAGGGAGGGAGAAGTTCTCCTTTCCTCTTTGGCAACCAACCCACTGAGCTTACAGTCTGCAAATCAAAAAACTAAACTTAAATCCTATTCCTCTTGGACTGAGATACGTGCCTACCCAGAGGCGCCTCTGTGTACAGTATCGTAATATGGACTGTAATGCAGCAACGGGCTTCTGCAGCTTCTTCTATACAGCAACTTGGTGTTTTTAAACGTCCACAATGCCCAAGAGTGGGTTGCCCTACTCTTCCCTCCCCTCCTCCCTTGAAATCTTTCCTGATTTTCCTTGCTTGTCCTGAAGGATCATAATATGTGTCACCACAGCCTGAGTAATTCTGCAGATTTAGTTGTGTGAATTTCACTGGTGAACATAAGCTTTTTACATGCAGGGATTAAACTGCAGTTTCATGAGAGTCCATGTGAAATATTTTCAGGTTTGCTAAACAAAAATCCTGATTTGTTAAATGCTGTAACACCTTTGATCTGCTGCTAAAGACCACTGGCAAGTATTTAATACAACATGTTTGAAACCTCTTTCTTAGCTCCAGTGTTTCTTTTAGATTGGAGAAAAAGTTCATTGTGGTGGTTGTGATTTCAGGAAGATACGGCTTTATGTGCCACTTGTAGGGCTCACTAAGTGCAACTTTGTCCTGAAAAGAGTCCGGAGCCAGCGCAGTCCTTTTTTCCCTGTTTCGAGCTTATTGTGAGTTGCAGCAAACTGCAGAAGAGGTTTTATTTTGGAAATGTGTCTGAGAGACAAGGTAGCTTCCAGTCACGTGCACTCACTAAATTCTACGTTTTCAGGGAAACTTAATATTCGGTTACTGTTGGATGCCTTGGAATAGTTTTGATTAAGTTCAAATGTGTCCCTGGTTGCCTCCATCTGTTTATTATTCAGTAGCATATGTGCAATGTGTCTACGCTGGCTCATTTGATCAGATGCTTTGGGGTTTTTGGTGCCACTTATTTCAGTTTGTCTTCTTCCCTTCCTTGCCACATCTGCTATAACCTTTAGACTGAAGCAGAAGGTGATGGTTGGGGTCAGTGCTTCAGCAAGCAAATAGCCAGTGGGTGGGACGGCACCAAGGAGTTCAAGGAAGCAGTGAAGAACTCGACATAAATGTGTTGCTACTGCAGAGCAAGGGAGGGTAGTTTGTTCAAAGACAAAAAGAATGGAAATTTTAATGAGACATAGAAAGCTGTCTTTAGTCTTTTTATAGAATAAACACAGTTGGATTTTTTTGTTCTTGCCTCTTGCATTACGTAACTGCCAAAATGCCATTGTGGATCCCAGATTTTGCCTCCACAGCCATCAATTACTGAGATATTTGGCTTAGCTGGATCGCAGGAGCTTTGTTCCTGGGGCTAGAGGTCTGTTGCTAGACCTAAATTTGCATCTGTTGGAAATAATAAGTGTCCTTGCTGTTTATTAGGATTTCTTTATTTTGAATCTCACACTCAGCCTCACATTCCCTCACTGACAGCTATTTTGTTCTTGATGCTTGACAGAAAAATGTCAGCTGTGCTGTATATCTGAGCTGGTCCCTTAAAATGGGTAGTCTGAATAGTGGCCTTAAAACTTAATAGCTAAAACCAATATAAAACCTTTAGGGAAAAATTATTGCAAAAAATCCCTACTGACTGTCTTTTAACTGTTGGATCAGGAGGCATCTATCACTTCAGATTTCTAGGACCATGTGCAGTTCCATCCAACAGCAAGAAAAGGCATGGTATTTCTTAATGCGGTGACTTCTAAAATGTGCAGATTGATTTTTTTTTTTTTTAAATTCTTTTTTTTTAATCCAACCATCTTTCCATGGTGTATTTAAAGCAGATGAATAGAGAATTATCCTTTACAGAAGCACAATATTTAGTACTTTTTTTTAAGCCTAATAGGTTACATATTTTATTGCATCTGGAATCCCTTATATGCATCAGATATTCTGTAACTGTAGCCTAATATAGTTCATGCAAAGCTTGTTCCACTGCGATCACATTAACTTTTTTTATGCTGCCTTTAAGAAAAAAAATCTTTCTTCCCTCATGCTTAAAATCTTTTAACCCGTAAAAATGTATTGAGTTTTTTACAAGCACTGATCTGTATTTCAGCTGATGTTCTGAGTGAAGAAGCTATTCTCAAGTGGTATAAAGAAGCGCATGTTGCTAAAGGCAAAAGTGTTTTTCTTGACCAGATGAAGAAATTTGTGGAGTGGCTGCAAAATGCTGAAGAAGGTATGGATTCATTTAAAGAAATACAGGGGTCTCTTCTCAAATCAAATCTGTTTTTCCAGATTTTGGTTGTACGAGGCATATGAAGTATACAGAGTTAGAATAGAAAACAGCAGGTGGGCCTGCGCCAGATTGTTTCCAGTCATGCCCAAGCCTAAAACCACTTGCTGCTGCTTAATGTCTGTGCTGGCCTTGTGAAGTCCTTAGGTCACCAGGTAGCACTTGCCTGTAGATAAATTCTTTAAGCTTGTGCAGGGAGGACCGCTGCCCTGCTGGCAGTGTGAAGTCCTTTGGTGTCAGCGTGTGCAACTGGACAGCTTTCTGTATCGGTGCCTTTCCTCTGCTGCCGCCTGAACTGGCGCCACGGACGTGGCGTAAGCCCGCCTGTGCTGCTGCAGTGGAAAGTGCTTTTAGCTGAATGGTCAGGCTAAGGCACGTGGCCTGTGTTCACTGCTTTAAAACTCTTACTGGGGAGGGGAGCTCGTTTCTTTAGTCCCAAACTTTGCTTTTCTCATGTTCTGTATAGGAAAATACTTTGGTTTGTACTGAATAAATAAGATCTCTTTTTTGCATGGAAAAGGAATTCCACCTCAATTGGGACGAGCAATCCATATGTAATAGATAGTGAATAATTATTAGTGCTCATTTGCATCCATTTAATGTAATTGGATTTAGAAACTTGGAGGGAATATGTAGTAATTCCAAGGAGCAGATAAGACAGCAGTAATTCACATGGGCAGGTAGCAGTATAAAAATGGTAGCTCCTTTCACACTTGAGCACCTGGACAAGCAGTCTTGGTGTAATTAAGTGGTTTTTTTTCCCTTTTAATCTTCTGCTTGTATGCCTTTCTGTTGCTCTTTATTTTTAGCCTTTCCTGCATGTCCCCTCTGCCAGATGTCCTTAATTACAAAGTCCAGTACAAATGGAGATGAAATGTTACTGTAAGAACATGTTTGCTCTGAAAAATCTGATCTAATGTGTTATATTTGTTGGCAGCAAGCCCCCTCCTGTCAGGTGAACACGGACAGAAATATAGTATGATAGCTTTAGGTGACAAAAACACCATGTGTGTTCCTACTTCTAAATTACTTCTACTCTTCTACTTCTCCTCCTTGGACTTCTAAATTACTTTTATCTTCTGCTGTACAAATGATAAAAAGAATTTGTTTGTTCAGATTTCATACCTGCTGTAGGGTAACACCACATATGCCTTTCTAGATAGAGGCTGGATGATGATGGTGATTGATATTTGCAGAGCAAATAGTTTAAAGGAAGCTTCCTGGATGAGAGCAGGTCAGCCTACCCGCAACAGATGAGAAAAGTGAGCAAATAAAGCTGATCCTTTGTTAAACTCAGCTCAGATACACATTGCATGGCTCTGCAAATGAGGACCAGAATAATGCACAGTGATCTGGTTAAACTTCTAGTGACAGACCTGAGCTCCACAGTGGAGGGTAGCAGAGTAGATGTTCACCTTCTGAAACGGCACATTTCTTTCTGGCTTACTCTGTTTAATCTGCCAACCTTTCCTAGGAAGTACTAGGTGTGATGAAAATTTTCATTTCAGTTTTGGAATCTTGTTATTTTTATAGAATTACTTACATCACTGTCCTTGTGCAACCTACATGAAGTATTTTACTTCTCTTCTAGAGTCGGAGTCTGAAGGGGAGGAGAACTGAGATCAACGCACAGTCTCAATCTAGGTTAATGCCAAATGCGCTTGGGAATGCTGTACTGTTCAAGCAAAGAGGCTTTACTTCAGTGTCATACAGAAAACTATAGGCTAGGCTTTCCTTTTGTTTAGAAGAATAAAGATTTTTAATGGAGCCCTGAGGCATTAGATGCTTTTCTTGGGACTCTACCTCTGGCTCATTGTACACTAACTTAGGCAAAGACATTCAGCAAGGAGCCATATAGAAAAAGTGAAATGAAATACTTGTGGACTCCTTTTTATTAACGGTCTTTTTCAGGTACTATGGTATATGAACACTCCAGTTTCTGTTTATAGAACTGTTTGGTCTGTGTTTGTAGCTCAGTATTGGCTTGTGTATGTGATTTGACACCACCACATTTTTTTGAATAAATGGCTTTTATATCTTAGTTTTGTAGTGTTTACTGTGTATTTTTTCTAAATTGGGTTTGACAAAGTTGTTACGATTCTTCAAGTGAAAATTACACAAGAATGTCAAGAGACTGTTTTCATACTTAATCACAGAATCAACACCTGTAGTTAATTGGAATCACTGTCTAATCTTTATTCCTATGTATATGTATTTCCATATAACTTTGGACAGATTCCAGAGCAAATGTTGATTCATTCAATCTGTTAATTCAGAGAAAATGTACAGCAACAAATCTGCAGAGTCTGAATTTTGCATGTACAAAATTGATGCAAATGCTAAGCAGAATAATATGCTGTTCTCAGTTCAGACTACACTGAGTTATTGGTGATGGCTAACTTTTGCAAGAAAAAACATCTCATTTTAGAAGCATTAGCTTCAAAACATGCATGACTAGACATCATTACATGTGAAATCTGAAATGTATTTACATCAGTGTGATGTTACAGTTATTTGACTGAAATAACATAAATGGATATATTAACTTCTCAAGACCCATCCCACTTTCTTGAATATTTCCCTTGTGCCTTGATGTGATTCCAGTTACAATTCCAGTTCCTGGGACCTGGTAAAGATGTTGCATAAATAGAGCCAAGGTGCAGGTTTGTACAGGCATGTAAGTCTCAAAAGCTAAGCCCAGAGTTAGAGGTCTGACCTTGTGGGAATACTCAGCCGGCACTTGGGATCACAGTTCCTGGAATCCTGTGTTGTGCCTCCTGGACGTGCACTCAACAGCAAAGGTTCAATGCAGCCCCATCTCCCAACTTTCCCTTTTTTTCACACAGCAGTTGGTCAGGTAACAGTTGCTGCCATTCTGTTTCTCAGAGGTCCAGTTACTGTGGAAGTAGTCTTCTCCTGCCCCACTCCCCCCTTTGCTGTCCACGCCTCTGAGCATGCTGGTGGCCCAGAACGACTAGAGCAGCCAGTTCATCTTGTCTTTAAGAACGTTACTTAAAACACTCTGCATGTGTCCCTTTAAACATGGAGTTCAGTCCACATGAAATATGAGTGATTGGATTAGTAAGGTTTAGAAAAGACAGGCTTGTATTATTAGTGGGGGGGAAGCGTGAAAGAGCGTAACTGATACCGAAGTGGTGTATTGTGTCATTAGGAGCCAGTAAGCTAACAGATAGTACTGATTTTTCTGTGGAAAAGTCAACACTTCATGCAAAGCACAGATCATATGGTTGTAAACATCCTGTCTCAGTATGTGTCCAAGCTTTACTGGAAACAGCAAAGAGCAAGTGGACATCCAGTGCTGTTGAATGCCAGCTTTCCATCTAGAACAGCATTTATTTCTGTAGCAGGTATTGATCTTTGGAAGGGGAAACAGGTCATGTGGGTATTTCCAGTAACCTAGAGGAGACAGTACGATAGTCATACAGTAGAGCAGAATTGATGCATTAGCTGCAGGCTTTCCATTTCAGTCTGTTACTACAGAAAATAAATTTGCCAGGCACTACTGACCTGGGACCTTCTGTTCCCAAACTCTGCAGCTGTGAACTGGTAGTACTGAGATGTTGCTGATACAGAACCACTATTGCTGGAAACATTTCAAATTAAAAATTGCAGTTTTTCTAAGGTACTAATGAATATTCAGACAGGTGTAGGTAAAACTACTTTTCTGTATGATCTAAAACTCAGACTGATTTCAGAGGTGCCCGTATAGAATAATATGCAGAGGATGCCATGAAAAGTACCTGCTGTGGGACTGCCAGGGGCGGCGAGACAAGGCTGGCTGAGGGCTGCTTGGGCTGTCTCCAGGATAGAAAAATCAGCAGCAGGAGGTACTTTGTGACAAAAGGCAGCAAGTCTTGGAGGCCTGCTCTGCTGGTGCCCTCAGCATGCAGCAGATACAAACAAAGCTCTCTCTAGTGCTTGGTGAGATCTGCTTCACTGAAGTTCAGGTACCTACAGGCCAGGCACCCCTCGAGTTGGACTCAATGATCCTTATGGGTCCTTTCCAACTTGAGATATTCTATGATTGCTGACACAGTTGTCCCAGGCTCCCTTTGTAGTTGTTGTGTTGGAGAGAAACAGGTGTTTTTAGGACAGGGCTGCTGGCCAGGCTAAGACTTGGAATTTAGAGCAGGGTGAGGAGTTGCATTCTGGACTGGCAGTAGTTGTCCAATTTTCAGTCATGCAACTCTCAAAAAAAAGGTCCTCGGTGTTTGTGTCATGTCTAAAGTTTAGCTCCTGGGAGCCCCTCTTGGGTTGCCCTCCCCCAGCAGAATGATGCGTTATTGGATGAAGCAGTAAATGTTTCTGATTCTAGTTTTCAGGAATTTTCCCCACTTAATCTCTGAGATCAGGGCAGATTGGGACTTTTCATACACGTGTGTTTTTTCATCCGGCATTTTAAATATATGCCAGGAACTGAACTAGGTAGGGGCACAAATACAAATAGACCTGGTTTGCATCAGACTGTTTCTACAAACATGTAATGATTAGGCTTTGCAATAAGCCTGTGGTTTAGATGCTGGACAGAGCTTCTGATACGACTCTTCAGGCAAAGTACCCTTCCCTGGAAGCCTTCACAGAGCCTGCATTTCAGTTAAAAATGTCGCCAGCTCAAAGCATTTCTTTAACAAAACCCTTGATATTTCTCTGCTAGAGAAATGAAAGTTACAGTCAACGCTAAATATATTCTTTAAATCTGGAGTCAGTTGTCTTATAAAAAGATACTTCATAGAAAATGTGCTTCACATAAAATACTGCATTTAATTTTGAAACATCAGTGGCATCTCAGAACTGTATGTATCTCTTGGTCAATAATAAATTGCAACAGGATACACTTTAAAATGGAGATTATTGAATCTGAAGGCAAATCCTCTCTCCTGGCCTTTCCCTTCTGACATCATGTGGAGGTTTTCTCAGAGACCCATTTATATATGCTTTGAAACACTATTCTGGCATGCAGGTGCTCTCCAGGAGAGGGGCCACACGTTCCTGGGGATGCAACAGTGAAGTAGGCTTTATGGGCTCCTCAGTTAGAAATCTGAAAGGTGCTGATGCAGTTTCTTGCTGTTTCTACTACCTTATTGCACTGCAGGTGTGTCCAGGTGTGTCGGTCTCTATACAAAGGGATCTCCAACCCCACAGCGGTTAGTAACACTAGAGATCACAACCCAGCATCAAGCAGCAATCCTGCTTTCACCTTTCCCATGTTTTAGCAGATAGAGGTTTACACCCACAACACATGGTGATGATCATCCACGCCAGCATCCCTCTTACCTGCTTGGCCAGCACATATCAAACCCAGGGGCCAGACCTGTGCCAAAAGGAGCAGTGGAAAAGTCCCCAGGCTCGTCCCTGGGGCAGCTGCCGGCTGGCGCTCACCACCTGGAGATTCTCCGAGACCCTCGGCAGGGTCCCAGCATCCAGCCTACGACCATGCTTGGCAGAGGGAGGGATACAGTGGGGGGCAGTGGGGGGATAATTAAGATTTTTACACAAAAGTTGTTCTTGACAATTCTAGCAATTTATTAACCGACCGGAAATTAAGGATTTAGCTTCTTCTCTTTGCTCAGTCTTGCAGATTTAAGTAGATTTCTAACCAGCTAACTGCACTTCCACGAGTTACATATATTAAAATACTGGCCAGTTACTCTTTTAATATTTAAAAATTTCAGAGCATAGGAGATACTGGTGAATCCATACATATGTTCATTCATAGAATCATAGAATGGTTTGGGTTGGAAGGGACCTTTAAAGCTCATCTAGTCCAGCCCACCCTGAGCTCTAGTAATGACTTCTTTATAATTAGGGCCCTGTCCACTGATGCTGTTGTCAAAAGTGCTTGAAAAATTAAAAACTGGTTTTGAAGATTACTTTTAATTATAAATAAAATATTAAAATGCTTACTATAGTATCTCAGTAGAACTAATATTGCTAAATATTATACATATTTAGAATCTGTGACATGTATTATATTTAAATATTAAAATATCTTTAAATATATTAGTAAAAATTTATAAAATGTGAAATTAGTTTTGAAGAAAATTTAAAATGTAAATATGCGAGAAAGTCACTGCACTAGTACAAGAGATGTGTGTAATACTAAAGGGAAGATAATTAGACACAGACTATTTTGACTACAACTCAGTTTCAGTCCATGAGAGAAGTTCTTTCTAAGTCAATAATCTAGTTTGTAACCTCAAAACTTTTGGAATATATTTTCGTTTTGTCGAGAGCATTACTCAAAGGTTGATTTTTAATAAAAATGTTCAGAAAATAGAGAACACGGGGATTTTGAAGCATTTTTTATAGATAATGCTTTTAGCCTGAAATGCAATCACTTGCTTGGAATTTACCCTACTCTGTCCTAGTAACTGAGGTGATAACCAGACAAACAAGTGATTCAGCTTCTCCTTTCCTGCGCTGTAAGGAATGGCTGGGCAACTACTTTAAGAAAATACACACAATTGATCATCTAGCTAGTAACATTTATTTCAGATTCCTTTTAATAACTCTAAGCTATGCATTATTTTACCTCTGCAGCTTTTCAAATTAAAAGATTCAAAGTCTGTTTAAAAATTTCTGAAAAGATAAATTCTTATCTCAAGCATAATTCAAGATATGATTTTTCTTAATAACCTTGTAATGTAGGAATGCCTTGGAAACCTAGTCATGGCCCAGGGAAACTGTGCCATATGGATGCACATACAGGCAGGAGAAGCTTCTACTCCTACTACTTCTGTTTGGGACTTTAGACACACCTTCCAGAAGGGCTTCTATTTTTCATTACAAGATACAAAGTAGTGGATTTTCCTATGGCCTGCCTAACCACACTCTTGGGCAGGACTTTTAAGTAGCAAACACTTCATGCCTGTTGTTTGGCATACCATGGATAGCTGGGCACATGAACGGAAATGGCACATTGTTGGAGCTCCCAACACAAGACAGACATGGACCTGTTAGAACGAGTCCAGAGGAGGCCACCAGGATT